TTCAAGTTGAAGAAAAGTGGTTTCGTGAAAATCGCAGAAAATTTTTTTTCAGAAACTCCAGGGTGCCTGGAGGTTGCGGTGCACCACGCGACAGTTGTATTCCAAAACTGAGTCACTCAGATCACACGAGTACCCAAGCATGCTTGAAACTCATTCAAATAAAAGTGCTTCTATCTGTTGTCTTGATTGTTTCCCACTCATTCCTTTTAGTTTGGGGAACATGTCAAAATCCCATGCCGATAGAATTTCAGATAGAATTCGCGGAAATGCCCAGTGGACAATGGCCCAGGTAGGGTAAGGATCAGCATTTACACACCACATTTTGAAGTGTTCCTCAAATAAAAAGTATGAGTGAGAAACAATCGAAACCTTTGAAAAAAGCTTCTGCAACTTTATTAGATTTCATGTTTCCTGTCAAATTTTGATCTGACTAACTCATTTTTGGGATACAATTACACAACATTTCAGCTCACCGTCCAAGCCGCCAAAACTCTCAAAAAAGTTTGAGATAGGAGGAAATTATCACTTGTCCTAAAGCTGACTTGGGCCCCAAAATCCATCACTGATTCTAAGAATTGTTTATGTAATGTGGGTGTGCTATTCTTGATCCTAGTTGGGGTTTCAAGCGAGCACATAATCTGTGCCTGAAGCTCTCCCGTCATGGGATTTTAAAATGTTCCCCAAATCAAAAAGTACGTGTGAAACAATCACTGTTTGTAACTTTGATAAAAGCTCTTGTATATTTATTAAATTCAAGTGTTTCCTTCCAACTTTTGATCTGACTGACACAATTTTTGGATTCAATTAATGAACGATCCACCACACTCTTCAAGCAACCAAAAGTCTCAAAAAAGATTGAGATAGGAACAAATTATCACTCGTCCTAATGTTGACTTGTCACCTAAATCTGCTGCAGAGCATAAGAATTGTGTAAGTAATGTTCATCTTAACCCTAGCTGGGGTTTCAACCAAGCAGTTCCACAATACGAAGTATCCAATCTATCACTGAAATCCACCAGTCTTCGGATTTTGAAATGTCCCCAAATCAAAATGAGTGTGACATGATCAAAATGCTTTTGTAAATTTTTTTGATTCAATAATGTTTTCTGACAAATTTTGATTGGACTGAGTAAGTTTTGATATACAATTACTGAAAGGTGCCCCACACCGTCAAAGCAGCCAAAAGTCTAAAACATTCAAAACCATTTAAAATGTTCTGGGAAAGACACCATAAGAAGGCTCCACAGCCAAAACAGTATGTCTCTTTTCTTTTAAGCATGGAATAAACCTTTACTTGTTCCTGTACATTTCCATATTACTCAAACACTTATCTGATTCATTAAGAGTAATGGTTATAACAGCACATATAGAATAAAGTAGAAACTGATGCCAAGCGCACCTTTGCTATTAGATGTAACACATGCAACAATTTATACACAGGCGAGTCCAAAAATTCTATTCGCAAAAGATTGGCACAGCACTTACATGACATTAGTAAAAAAGAAGCCCAGACCCCACTAGTAGCACATTTCTTCCAGCATGGGCTGGAATCAGTTAGAATATACAGTATAGAAAGCAATCCAAACTATACAAACAGAATAAGAAATTTAAAGGAGAGAAGATCCAGAAATTGAACACTGTGGAGGACTGTCAAGAAAGTGAGATAAATACACGAAAAACCAGGTAAATGTAGAGGGAACCTCTGGTCACCAGGACAGGGTGGATGGACCTTTCTCTGCCTTTCCCAGAGGGGACTCTTCAATTTTATTGGTGAAGAGAGACTTCGTCCTTGGAAACGGAATTCTGCTCCAAACAACCTGACCCTAACCCTTACCTGCCTTCCCAGGCAGTTACCCGCTTACATGCATACCTAAATACCTGCTTATCCAAATGCTTATTTGCTTAACTAGACTGTTATGCTTGCCCAAATGCTAACCTACTTATAGATGGCATCTGTCTGTCTCGAGAGACCATGGTTTTGCGCCGTGGTTGTCAGTTTTTCGATTTACATTGCCTACTGTGACTGTACAGTCCAAGACTGGAGCGACAGGCCTTGTTGCAGTTTCCCCAGGTGAGGTGTGACTGGCAGTAAATGGGTTGCCCTCTGCCGTCTGCACTCCCTCGTCTCATACCTCCTCTACTCACTCATCCCAATCAGCCATCTTACCTATTTACTCAAGTGATTACCTGATTAGGCAAATGCTTATCTGCTTACTTGTTTTTTTAAATGGTTTCCTGTTTGGTCAAATGCTTATCTAGGTAAGCAATTCTTAATTCCTTACTCAAATGCATAACTGCTTACCCAAATGTTTATCTCCTTTCCTGTTTGCCCAAATGTTTACCCAAATGCTTACTGGTTTTTCCAAAAGCTTTCCTGCTTACCCAAAAGTGTACCTGTTACCCAAACACTTACCTGATTACCCACTTACTTGCCCAAATGGGTTGCCTTCTTACCCAAATGCTTAATTGAACATTTTCCTCTCCCCAGGGGAAGAGTAAGGATCCTTTGTTTTAAACGTGTTATAAGAAGCCCCAGTCAGTATAGAATAGGGATCTTTTTGGAAGAAGTTTTGTGGGACAGATCATGATCACTGTCGTTGAAACCAGGAGAGGATGTAGATATTATGGATTCTACAGGGAGCAGCTGAGAAGGGCTCCAGCATCATCTTCCTTCCCCCCTACAATAAACTGGATAAATCAAGATGGAGGACAGAAGGGAACCGCATTGTTCAGGAAGGCTGGGACTGGAGAAGTTACCTAAGAGCCATCAAAAGTATACGCAGTATCATTCTTGTTCCTTGGTGTAATGGAAGGTATCACGTAACATCACTGACTCGAGCTGGTTTCATAGAACACTGCTGCTGGACACCTCATTGGGGACATATTTTGGTAACTGAGTTCCAATGGGATTTGTACTGTTCTTCCAGTAAGTGACTATGGTGAATGATTTGTATTGTGTGTAATGGGTAGAATATTAGACTAAAATAAATGGGATATTATGTATGATAATTGTCTAGTTAATGAATGCATTGGCAAGTCTGGGAGATTAAATTAATGTGGCAAATTAATAAGGGCCCTAGCACCTGTTATAATTGCTAGGTGACATACAGTACTTGTGCACAAAACAACAATTCTTATTTTTAGAAGTCACCTATCCATTTATTTATAAGGACCTTAATTTTAGCACTTATCACTTCATGGATAGATTTAATTTCATTTCAATTATGAAAGATGAAAAAGTTTAAAGAATTTTTAATGCTTTAAAAATAAAACAAAATATGAACAAAAAACAGATCAAAGCATCATGATCAATTTTCTTCATGAACCATTACTATGTCATCAGATTTGACCTTCCTGGCTATTACTATAATCCCGATAGTATTTATGTACCTACTGTACCTGATCAACCTCTAGATGGACCACTTTGGGAGGTTTAATCACTCTTTCTGTGCAACTGCAGCCAGTTGTTGAAGGCTGGCCTGTCGGGATCGTCTGCTAGTGGTACCTGCAAAGTGAACCCCCTAGATCGTCGGAAGGAGTCAAGAGACAAATCTAGCCACCAGGACCGTGACATTGTTTTTTGAATCAATGGTATTGCAACCCTAGAACTATGTAACCTTGCAGCGGCCAATTGGAAAAGTATCTCTCCTGGACTTGCATGCAGGAACACAAAAAACGCTGACTCAAGCACTCTGTCAAATTATCACTGAATAGACCTACTGTCTTGGGTAAAAGGGAATTTCTTCCCAAAAATCACAATTCCACTTCCCCACTAGTTGACCAGAACTGAAATGCAACAGTCAAGAGTTATATCAGCTCAAGATGTGTTCCCTCAGTTCAGTCAAGGGAAACAAACTCAGTTCAAACACCTGACAATTTTAGTGAAATAATTTTACTCAAACTCATTTTGCTCTCTCAGTGTACAGAACTACTGTTTAGTATTTATTCATTATGCATCACTTTTTCATAAATAGAAGTAAAACAAATGTCAGTCCTACAAACATCATTTTTACAGTTTGAAAGTGAATTGTTCTGTGAAAATTGTTAAACAAAGATTTTTTTAATTTTATTTTTAAGCAAATGTCTGTGCTGATCCATACCTGTCAAAAGCTGAACCTAAATAAAAACCATCTGCGTGTTTGTCACCGGATGGTGTCTTGGTAAAGATCAAGTTACAGATTAATCAATTACAGTCCAGTGATCTAATCTGAAAGACACATAAAGCTAATTATGTGAAAGCTTGTTGGGAATATGCGTTTTGAGTTGAAATGTGTAAATATTTAAGATAATTATTTTATTTTTACATTCTACAGTAGTTATATAATACATCCAAGGTAAGGAACAATGTAATGGTTCATATTCAGTGTACTTTTTCCAATCATGCAATTTACTCATTATCACTTATGGTAGGCATCATAAGAGTTTTCTGCAGATGATATCAATACCAATCTTTGCAAAATGTAGCAGAATGGAAACGGGTGTTAAAAAAATCTTTATTAGTCCTTAACTATGATCCAGGCACATCCTTACAATTGCAAATGTACTACAATATATGACTCAAAACTGCCATGTTCCTTTCCACACAAAGTATGACAAGAACAATCCTCTATGATGTGCACCGCAGGGATGAATGAACAATTTGAGACCAGGTTAGAAAAAACAATAGATAAATGTCATTATGCATATGCAGGAAAGTGAATCCTTATCTATCCCTCGTTTTCACAACCGTCTTATGGTACAAATCTTTAGTCATCTCAAGAAAAAACAACAATCGGTAGACAAGATAACCAGAGACGTGTCATTCCAAAGATTTAATCAAAGATGTTGTAGCTAGGAAAATATGAAGTTCATACACTCACAAAAACAAAAAATGCAGATTTAATAATTTTATTTACAAACATAATTGAACAAAGAATAGACTTTTTAGATTCCAGTTATGATAACACTTGCTTTTCTAGGAAAAATCTTTGTTCCCCAAAATGCATTGAATAGAGCACCTCAATGAAAAACATAACTCAGAACTTTCTAACCACTATACCAAAAATGTAAATACCCAATGTAATTCATTGCATATATAATAATCTGTCACCTTGACAAAAGAAAAAAAAATCAAAAAGGCACATTGTTGATAAACCGTGATAGATATTTTAGACCGCAAACAAATTGTTCAACAAAAACTTTTGGAGGGGGGTACTAAGATACAAAAGAAATGATAAAATAGCAAGTATCAAATACTTTTAATATGAACAGCCAAATAATGCTACTCTGAAATTAAATCATTCATACCAGTTGAAGGTCACGATAATGATTCATTAACTAGATAGAGGTACAATACATGTATCATATCTAATAAAACTTCTGTAATATACATGCATGTCCCTTATACTTTGTACAGGCTGAAAGAGATATTCTGGTATAGAGGAGTCACCCTGTGAAGCTCGCTCTCTTGCAACAAAAGGTCACAAAAATGAATTATACAATCATTTGATAAAGACTCACGATTATATATATATATAATCTTAATATCTAGGAAAAGGACATGACCTACAGTCAGAAACAAATCTATTGGCAACCCCGTCATAAAATATTAAATTTACTTGGAATCCTTATTGTTTGATTTCCAGGATAAATTAGTGCTCAATAACCTTTGAAAATATATTATTGATAAAATAGTTTATTAAACTAAGCGAATCAGTGAATGTTTCAAAAGAAGAGTGTCAATATGTTTCTCTGCAACAATATTTATAGCCATTGCTGCAGTATTTATACATATTTGTCTTCTGAAGCTTCTTCTTCAATCTGCTGTAGAGAGTCACCTTTGACTGCAGTGACATCACATGGCAGTGGGCTGTCCAGCTAAGTGGGATCAAGAGTTTGGTTAATCACTCCTGAAATACACTATTTTATAACAGAACCATGCTCTCTGCCAGCAGGCAGTAAAAGCCCCTGTTCATGAATCAGTAAAAAACAGAAGCACTGTTACACTGCTGTGCAAATAAATGTTACAGTACTGTGGCCTGCACTATCTTGTTCAGTAGAATCTAAATGTTGGATAAGGAAACTGCACTGTTTTAGGAAGAGGTATGAAGAAAGCAAATGGCATGTAAAAACCAAGGCAGAGGACACGTCAGCCAGTAATGAACTGTCAAGGTTTCAGATGTTTCACTTCTATAACTAGCTCCGTACAAGAGTCTATTAAACAAAACTCTGCCTCATTCCTTCATAGTCTTTCAAAAATATTTCCCCTGAATTGTAAACTTACGTTTTGTGATGATGGTATCTCTTGATGTATACTAGAAGTATGCATATATCCTATTTCCAAGTGGTGGAATTACACCGATTTCCTTAAATATATCCTAGTAAACCCCTTTCCTGTCACAGACCACCTACAGAAATTTTGCACCTGGAAGTTTCTCCTCTTAAATATTTTGTTAAATTTCCTGTAGCAGAACACAGCAAAAGCCTGGTTCAGGTCTTAAACTGAAGCTATCCCCCTTGGCTTCAAGTGTGAACAGTCAATTTTTTTAATCTCTTAATGTGTCCATTCAGCAGACAAAGATACGGAACATTTTTTGGGGAGGTCTTCAGAGGTCAAAGTTGTCAAATTCTAGGCCTCAAAATGCTTACAGGCCTTGTCATAGGTGTCTACTAGCTTGGATAAAAATGTGTGATAAATCTATCAATTTGAAAAAAAATTTTCGCCTCCTCTAAAAATGATCATCAAAGTTATTGAAAGCCTATATAACATGTAAAAGATATTGCAATTGATATAAAAAGCCTATAGGCACTGCTAAAGAGCCTTATCTGCTGTAAGGCTTTGAAAAAAAACTTTAGAGTGGCCTTCAGGTCTGAAAAATTTACCAGTGATAAGATACTGATTGATTACCACCTGCTGGGGCAATGATTGACAGCTGGAATGCAGACAGAAGGCAGCCAGTGGCTCCCAGGGGAAGTCCCGCCCCCTAATGACTCTGAATGGCTGAAAATACGATGAAAGACATCGTTTTTCACCAATCAGACCAGCTTTTCAAATGGTCATTTTCAAATTCGATTGCAAAAGACAATCGATCTGTTTCTTGCCGGCCCCAGGACGTTGCCTATGCACTAGAGGGTTAATAAGATTAGTTGAAAGAGAACTTCTTAACTAATTGGTGTTTTACTAAATGGATTAAGAAGCAGTCACTAATCGTTTCAACCATCTCAAATTCGACTTCTGTATTCCCCATCACAATATTCCAATTTAGGTGTGGGAGGTTGAAAGGCTTTCCTGACCAAGATCCATGTCCACTAAGACAGTTGACAAGTGTCCAGTAAGACACAGTGTGGTCTGGGGATGTAGCCCCTGTTAGGTCACATGCCCTTTTCTGCAGCTGTGACCTACTGTTGCGCACGCATATCTGTACCTCTCTCTGGCCCTTCGTCTTGCTCCAGATTCCCTGACCTAAAATATATTTCATTTCTGCTGTTTACAAATGCTGCTTAGTCCATTGATCAAAGTAGAAAATAGAAATAGAACTGAAAATGACACTTACTTTTAAATCTGAGATAGCAGGAGTTACAGTAAAGCTGGCGGTTTCGTATTCTGACTTCAGCTCCTGTTTCTGATCCACCGAGATCTGAGCCACAGTCAATACACTGCACAGGACAACAGTGAAAGAATGTAACCTTTAAAACAGCACTGCCTTAGAGGAACACGCAGACACCGTGTGAAAAGCCACAAGCTGCTTTAGTGTAAGAAGTGAGCCTTTAGTCAGTGCACCAGCCAATCCTCTACTGGGGTTAAGCAAAAGCCAAAGATGTTAATAGGGACGTGACAAAATGATGCACTGAAGAAGCAAAAATTGGCAGAGGAAAATAAAAATGCTTTTCATAGCTGAAAAAAATGTAATGAGCAAAACTGTATGTCTTTAAAACAGTAAATGGTAGATGTTTCAGAAAAATAACAAATTAAAGCAACAACTACAAAATAAATACTAAAGTGATTGAGAGCTGACAAGAAGCATATTTTTGTGATGCATTCAATTTGGCACTGACATAGTCCCAAGTGCAGGATCCATGCATCCTATAAAGAATTTCAACAACCTGCTAAAATCAGATGTAGACTTCAAATGGAATGTTAGTATTAGGAGATAAGTAAATAACAGCAGATGTTTTACAATAAACATGTAAGTATGACTTTAGTACAGAAAATACATTTTTGGTCTTTTTTATACTTTTTTCCTTGAATTGTTATAGTCTATATTCAGATTTTTCTTTAACTTCTCAATTTATACATCTGTCATAAAAATAAAGAAACTGCTCACTCAGATTCCACCTGAAAAACAATGTTTTCCATTTTTAAGTATTTAAATCTTTAGAGACAATATTTTAAGAGTTCCAGTCTCGGAGGAATTGCATGGATCATACACATACAGTATACGCAGTAGATAATTAGTGCAAGCAAATTAACTGAGCTTAGTATTTGCAGACATGCAGCTGTTCATCAGTACAGCGTGAGCTTCCCATGATGCAGAGTCCTTGATCTCACCTTAAAACACTGCAAATGATAACAAAGACCCAGAGATTCGATGACCATGGCAGCTCCTTTGCCCAAAGGTGCATCACAGTATGCACAGATTTTCTTCCCACTGACTGACCTAGATTGCAGAATGGAAATGTGACTGGAGATCTATAATATGTCTAAGTCCCTCAGGTACATGTAGGTGTAGTAGCATTTATCCAACCAAATAATACATTCATTTAAATAACTAAATTAATTTAACATCCATGAAAGAAAACATTTCTTTGTTTTGGCACAGGTAAACCTGAAAAAGGTTCCAAAGACAAAAGGTTGTGTCTTTTGTTTTCAGCATGGAATAAACCTTCCTTTGCAGCCTACATACTGTATGCTGACACAGCCACCTAATTGAATCTCTCTGTTATGCTGAAAGAGATCCATATCAAGATAAAGAAAGAAAAACACACAAAGTGCTGGGGTCAGCTTTCTCAACTATACATTAAAACGATGTTTGGCTTTTTTAAGTGCCTTAAAGATAAACCATGAACTGTTTTAACAAACGTATTTGTGACACATCTTAAAAAAACATAACTAAAAAAGTGTGGAACTAGGAAAATTATTACTTCAGAAATTACCTTGACATTTTCAAATAAAATAAAACCTTTTGATTAATTTTTGTCATGCTTGCCTTCGCTGGCAAGCTGTGGGGTTAACCAGTATTGACACAGCAGATGGTTACATTACCTTCCAAACCATCTCCCAGCAGTGGTTGTCATGGTTTCCAGGACCACCTGGAAACAATTTACGGCCACTCCCAGTTCAGCTGGTCCAGAAAATACCTGTATCTGATGGAGCTTGGGGCTCTACCATAAAGCTCTTTGAATTCTTGAGTCCATAGTTTCCATTGCCCTAGCTTCTCCTTGCCCCCGTTTCCCTAGTGTTCCCTGGTGTTGCCTTGCTTGGATTCCTGCTGTGTGTTGTACTGCCAGCAGCCGTATCACCCTGCAACTCACAACTGGCAACCGACTGAAGCTAAGCAGGTGTGAGCCTGGTCAGTACCTCGATGGGAGACCTCCTGGGAAAAACTAAGAATGCTGCTGGAAGAGGTGTTAGTGGGGCCAGCAGGGGGCAGTCACCCTGCGGTCCATGTGAGTCCTAATGCCCCAGTATAGTGTTGGGGACACTATACTGTAAACAGGCGCCGTCCTTCGGATGAGACGTAAAACCAAGGTTCTGACTCTCCCCCTGGTCGTTAAAAATCCCAGGGCATTTCTCAAAGTAGGGGTGTAACCCCGGTGTCCTGGACAAAATTCTCATTGGCCTTTATCAATCATGGCCTCCTAATTATCCCCATCTATGAATTGGCTTCATTACTCTGCTCGCCTCCCCAATGATAGCTGATGTGTGGGGAGCATTCTGGTGCACTATGGCTGCCGTCGCATCATCCAGGTGGATGCTGCACATTGGTAGTGGTGGAGGATGTCCCCATTACCTGTAAAGCGCTTTGAGTGGAGTGTCCAGAAAAGCACTAAGTGTAAGCAATTATTATTATTATTATTTTGTTCTTTGGAATCTGTTCACTCTCACAATTTCTTGTAGATCTGTCCCCACTACAAACTGAGTTACCGAGTTTTCTGGATCTGACCCTCACCTCATCCTGACCAGACCCATCGAACCACACCCCCTCTGTGCTTTGGACCTTGTTTGTGCCTCTCCATCGGCTTTGCACCCCCCACCTGTTTGACCACAATCTCAGACTGTGCTTATTTCTGGTTTCCTACACTGCCACAGCATGCCGTCTGTGTGCGCATACGACAACGCCTCCTTGTGTCTGGAGCTGGCTACAATCCCGCCGCCTGCAGGTTGCCCCATCTCAGCTGCTCCTCGCCCAGAATGTGGGTTCATTCTACACCTCAGATCCACTGCTACTCCCACCTCTGCAGCGGAGTATTACCATTTGACAATAGTGTTGCATGGCTGTATAAGTAAACGGTAAAACAAGGTCGCGTTTCTCGAGAGGAAGAAGAGGGGATACCAGCCCTTAGGGTGCAGCTGCGGGGAGTCTCACCTGCTGCGCTGCTGCTGTTGCAAGAGCAGATCGGGAGAGGGCTGGTTCCAGAGACCCTGCTTCAGGGAACCCATGGAGAGGGATGTGGGCAGAGTGGAAGGTGTGCGCATGTAGCTGCGATTGGACGTGGACACTGGCTGGGGATACCGGCTGAAGTCCTGGACCAAAGAAGAGGAGATGGAGGACGAGCTGGATATCCATGGAGGGTGCTTCAGGGAGTTGGATCGAGGGGAATCCAGGTTGTCAAGCGACTCGCCTCTGAAAATGGTAGAGTTTTTTGGAAGGAATATAGATATATGAAGTGCATTTATGAGAAAGCACAAATTACATCTTTAAACTGAGGACTGTTTGCTAATGGGTCCATTTGAAATGTCACACATTCCCTCCCTGTCACACATTCCCTCCCTGTCAAATCCTAGAGGTTGATACTATTTTTCGACTTGGTACCTAAAACAAAATAATGATCTGTTTCAGCTTTAGGTGACTTAGAAGTGCCTCTTAGATTTTAAAGTTTGTGACACTGGGAAGAGTAAACACTTCAAACTTCAAAGGAAAGAGGATGTTTGCTGAGGTCTGGGGGGGGTCCCTTAAGCAGAAACAATGGTAAAGTTTCTCTTAGTATACCTAAGTAAGTTGTGGGTTAATGATTGCAAAGGAGCAGGACAGAAACAGACAATACAAGATCACATTATAGAGCTCAGAAAAGGGGGACAGGAGAAGAAGGAAGAAGCAGGCAACAAGGAGAGGATAGAGAAGTCTCGGAGGAGTTGTGACTTGCGCCAAGCGAGAGCACCTGCTTCATGATCATCAAAATCAAACCCGGCTGGATCCAAGTATCTAACCCTGTTAGAGAGGGCATGCTATTCTGTGTTTTTAGGGATCTTGGGTTTCCTCGGTAAAAGATACCTCAGTTTGAAACGGCTTTCCTGCTTAGGGTGCATTTTTATGGATAGTGATATAGGCTTCTATTAATTTTGTGGCATTCGGGAAACAGAGAGATTTAACTGCAGGTTGCATTATATATAGTTATAAGGTAGCTCATCTCTTGTGTGGCCTCTGTAGGGATATTAAGAGTTTGATGTAGTTCAGGTGGGTAGCTGCGTCAGCATGCATAGGCTGCAAAGGAACAAGAATAGGTTTATTCTGTGCTGAAAAGAGAAGAAAGAAAACAATGTTTCTGCTGTGGAGCCGTCTTCAGGTGTAAGAAAGATAGGGCAGTCAGCAAAGATAATTTAGCATGGGAAAACAAGTCGGGAGAGAGGAGAAATCAGGAGCAGGGGAGAGGCAGAGTGGCCAATCAATTGGTGCGAGGTCGAGAGAGGTGAGGAGAGGTGTGAAACGAAACCTACAAATGAATAGAGAGAATTAGAAGAAAACTAGTCTGTTGTTGAGAGAGGGGGAAGATGTGAACCAAATTTCAGGATAATTTTAGTTTCTGATGTTTTTCTGCTATAGGAGTTAAGAAACCATACTTTGAGAATGGAGAGATCGGTGTGATCATGGCCATCAGAGGTGAATGATCATGGCCGTTATTTATCAATTGTGCTTATTGCTTAAAAAAATTAATAATGATAAATCTTATTCCGGAAGAACACTATTTTAATTTTTTGCTCCAGCTGATTTCTTAACCATAGGCTAACTTATTGAAATTATTTATTTGGGGCTTATTATATTTGTCTATTTTGAGCTCTTAAAAGGTCAAATGGGATTTGTAATTGGTTTCAACCCTGGATCAATTTCCATCAGACTATCCAAAATCAGTTTCAGAACTGCCCTTATTCAGAAGTGCTGCTTGAAATGTATCCAACTGGTCCTCTGCAAAAGGAAAAAAAACATCATTGTGGGAGTGTCATGTACTATATCATTCCCATCTGTTTCTGTTCCTCATTGATTGATCTTTTAGTAAGAGCTGTTTAGTCAGAAATAATAGCCAGCAGGCTGAGGAGAGGCTTCATAAAGTTCTGTTTGCTGAAGATATTTAAAGAAGTACCCTTGAAATAGACTGTTTTTGACAGTAAGGACTTAACTTCTTACCTCCTCATTGGCCCAGAGAAGCTGACTGGCTCCTTGTTGACACTGGCACTGCGCTGTCTGATCCAGCTGCTGTCAGTCACAAGCTGATTCTTCTTCTTCATCTCTTCAATGATCCGCTGTCTTTCCAGCTCTGCCTGAGAGAGAGCCTGGTCCTTCTTTTGAGAATCTGCTCTGCTCCAGGTGCTGTCCATGGATTTGCTGGTGCCTGAAATCAACCAAAAGTCCAGACTTAGCAGAACATTAAGGGAGGAAAAGACATGATATAGTATTTGATGAAATGATTTGGTTTTAAAGACCTCATTTTAATTGATTCAAGATCACCAATTTGTCAACAGTTTATTCTCTATTAAAAAAGATTTGTGCAAGAACTATTGTTGTACATGCCAGACAGTGGTGGTAATTATCTTGGTGATGAACACTTTTAAAGAAAGAGTAAATTGTATTTTATTTATAGAAATGTAGGTGCCATAAAAGAATGGTGGAAAAATAAATGGTAGAGGAATTTAACCAGCATTCTGAATTATGCATTTTAAATAAATGATTAGAGATATTCCAATCAACACACAATTGCCAATCATTCAAAACTTTTTTTTTTTATTTTTACTGATCAGTGTGGCCACAGATTAAAGGCCTTTGCCCACCTCTCTCTGGGTCAGCATATTTCATCAAATTAAGGATTTGCTTTCTTTCTGCCTCCAGCTCAGATGCTGCCACCATTTTCTGGACTTCCCTGTTTTTCTTCCTCCTCAATTCCTCCTCCAGCAGCCATTGAGCCATGCCCCCATGTCTGGAGTAAATACCTACGTACACGATTATACGACTATACCTTGTTTATTTTGAAACTTTAATGAGCATTTCTGTTTCACCGGTGAAGAGAATATTAAATATAATGGTCTTGTAAACTCTGACCCATATGTTCATTTGTAATGATACCTTTCCTTCTTAAAAAATGTGTGAATAGTATGAAAAGGTAGTTCATTTCATGACCAAAAGTCATTTCCTACATAATGTTTTTTGCCGTATATTAGGACTTAAAAAGAAATAATGAAACCGTGTACAACAATAATACAGTCCCCAGTATGTTAGCTTGAAATTTATACCAGACAACTGACATGAGGGGGATAAGGTCATTAGCATTGGGAAGTATTCACACTTCAGACAGCTTATTCATGTGGAAAAAAAAATTAAGATAAGATCACTTTACTGGCCATATACAATTTCTTGCATTAGTAATTTGTCTTTTCACATACCCCAGCTTGCTCTCCATGATACGCAAAGCCATTTATACGGCGCCCCTGGAGCAGCTGGGGTTAAGGGCCTTGCTCAGGGGCCCAAAGGAGTAGGATTCCTCTGCCGGCTGCAGGATACGAACCAGCAACCTTCCAGATCCTTAGTCACAGAGCCACTGCCCCGAGCAGCATATATTCCTATCTTTAGCTCAGAACTGGAAATATACATTCCAGTTTATTTACAAGATAGTGAAGACTGGCTTTAAAAGGCTTTTTGTGGGTTTCTCAGTTTGGGTACGTTATTTGCTCTTAATTAACATAAAATTGAAAATAACCAAAGTAGTTCAAAATCTACTATAGTTGATATCTGCTGCTCCAACATTTTTTTATTGACATGCTTAAGCTAAGTAGGAAAAAGTTTGGTCATATTTCTAAACGGAACTATTTCCAAAATTATTTCATACATTTAGCAGAAATACTGTATGCAAACTGTCTATAAAACAGTCAATAAATTTGCATTGCACTTCAGAATACCTTATATAAACTTACCTTTGCCGTCTGCTGTGTAATCATCATCAAGATCTGAAGTAGACTTTGACTTGTTCCTAAATCACAAAAACAAATATATATGGTATCAAAATAAACTGATGGGTATTTCTCCACATTTTTGAAAAATAATCAATATCACCCTTATTTACTGTAATATATAAATACACAAGTCCATTACATATTTTATAGTGATTTGTGATGCATTTAGTTTTGTTCATTTAAATATAATTCGAATTTCAGAGTCATACTAACCTGTCTGAGACTTCAATTTCAGGCTGGATTTTAGAAAAACCATAGGTATCGCCAGACCTGTGTTAGTGCAGCCAAGGAAATAGCAAAGAGAAGTATTTTATAGCAGTTAAATGTTAGGAAAAAAGAGGACAGAGAAGAGTAAAGAGTAACATTTACAGAATTACATCATGTGGTACTGTTTACAAAATGTAGATACTTGTCGGGCACGAACCGTACAAGCCTCTGTTCTTATCTGCTATTTGACGTTTTGCTTGTGCATCCTCCTTAAACTAAGCACTGCGGTGACAGAGGTTTAGGCGTCCAACACTTTCTCTTGAGAAAGAGGAGGTCATACCGCTGCTGCTGCTGCTGCTGCTGCCTCAGCCTCAGCCTCTCCTGCTCCCTGTGCTGTTCTTCAGCAGCTTCTTGACGTCTCCTCTCCTCATCCTGCTGCCTGCGCCTCTGTTCCTCTTGACGTTGGCGCTCTTCCTCTTCTCTCTGCTTCCTCTCTTTCTCCCTCTGTTCTTCTTGGCGCTGGCGTGCCTCCTGCTCCGCTTGCCTCCTCCTCTCCTCTTCCAGACGTGCCTCCTCCTCCTGGCTTTGCCTCATCCTTCTCCGCTCCTCTTCCTCCTCCTGCTGCTGCTGCTGCTTGAGCCGCTGGGCCTCCTCGTCCTGCAGCCTGGCGACATCCTTCTCTTCAGTGATCCTGGATGACTCCTCCCCCAGAGTGCTTCGATCTTTCCAAGACCATGTCTGCGGGCTTGGGGGAGAGTCAGGGGACTGATGGGTCAAACAGGGTTTAGTGTTGACTTCAATTATCCTGCGCTCCTGTTGGAATCGGGGGGAAAAAAAACAGATTTATATGAAGATAGGTCAAACAGGGTCCAATCTTCGGGCATGTATGACAAATTAGGGCTAGATTGCCCGTCTGGAATGTAATTTTATCATTAGAAAATCTTAAACACCTTTTTTCTTGACCAATTTGCAAGAAAATCCAATTCTGAAATGAAGTCATAATACAACAAGCAAAAGAAAAGGTAAATATGTGTAGCTTGATTCAAGAAAGTTTAGAAGTTTTTTAGCCATCTTCATAGGACATTATAATTGAATGAAACTGTTTATCAGAATATGACAACTTGAAATATCATTGTATTAGGCATTTCTTTTAAAAAAATGAACAAAAGGAACCTTCGGAATTGCACCATATATACCTCCTCATAGTACTTGGACCCTTCCTTCTCGGCCTCCTGCTGCGCACGGCGCCACTCCTCTTCCAATCTCTCCTGTTCACGCTTGTATTTCTCCTGCAAATGACAGCAAGGTCACCGTCACTAGCTAGACAGGTGGGCGAGACCTGTGAGCGGTGGACAATGTGCAACACCTGGACCGGGCTGGGAGTGAATGGGGTGGGGATCTTTCACTGCATGCGTGACAAAGCAGAAAGGTTTAATGTACGGCATGCTTTCGGTCAAGGGAAACATGGTTCTGATGTCTGAGAAAGAAAGCATCATCGCTTCACCAAAAAGGGTGAGGTGCGAAGAGACACGGAAGCAAGTAAACTCTTACCTGCAGCTGGCGCTCCTGCTCCTTCTGCCACTTCTCCTGGCGCCTCCTCTCCTCCTCGGGGTCCCAGGACCAGCGGCTGGAGGAGGTGCTGATGGAGGGGACCTGCAGCTGACAGGCGGAGACAGGACAAGGGAAACGTTGAGCCAGATATTCCTGATATTAGGATTACAGTCATTAGGTTAATACTCCTGTACAGTTACACAAAGAGAGGCAGAAGCAGCCACACACTCCTTCTGCTCTTTCAGACCTATTCCAGACTGATTCAAGGATGGACGCAGGGAAGAGAGTGGTGATGAGAAAAAATACAGAGCGGTGTTTCACAAAAGTGTTGCTATTCTGTTTATTATGCTATACGTTTTTCCCTAAAATACAAGAAGGAAATACATACTGCAGGTACTGGAAGTTATCTCAAGCAGTAGTAAATGCAGGTACATTTTTTTTTGCAAAAAAAATATTTTGGAATAATATGTACATCAGAACTTACATCTGATATTGCAGACTCAGATCCACCTAAGAACAAAAAAAAAATGTGAGTTGATTTACTAATATCTATGAGATCGATCTGTATAGTACAAAGCACACTAGTGTCTTTCACTGGGTTTTTATGTTAAAATATTTATATAATAATTAGGTGTTTGCTGTACACACACTAACATTTCATTTTCTTATTCATGTGTTAAATTGCAATACAATACACACAGAAAACAAGTATAATAAATCTAGTATATAAATAGTGAACAAAAGGGATACATACGCTTCATATGACTTCATATAAATCAGTTTAGAGCATTAGCAATTAGCAGAATATTGACAAGAAAATCATTTCATTTTTAAAAGAGGAAAATGGCATACTCACACTTGCCCAAGCATTTAATATTAGTTAGCAAAATGTAAATTTAGGGCATTCCCAACATACTGTAACATGCAGAATGTAAGAGTGGTACTTAAATGCACTGTACACCATACCAACATATAGTACGTAGCACAAAAACCTGAAGCTCACCTGAACATCAGCATGAACATGAATATATCTGCACATATGGAGCACACATCCTTAAAACATGTTGAAGTTGTAATTAGAATTCAATATAGTTGCTTTTATTCTATCTTATGCACATGATAAAGCCAATACGTCAGGTAGTGGTTTAAGTGAGATGTCCTGCACTTGATTGATTGTGTTAATAAAGGTGAATCCTTTTACTTCAAAAGAAAAAAGAGCAATTAAATGAAAAATGCTCTACATTTAAATTGTTTTTTTTTGTAAATTAAAAAATCACATTTTCACTTATTTAAAAATGATGAAAATCTGTATCTAATTACGAAACTGATTTTTAACATAATAAGATGAAGATGAAAAGGTCAGAGCTGCATTAAGTCTGGAAGCAGAGTGTTATAGTGCTTATACCATGTTCATACTGCTTAAAGGGGAAAACTACCTTGTCACTATGTTTCAAAAAAGGAAGAAGCCAAAACAAAAACAAATTTGAAAGCAAGGAAGAAATCCAACTCATGACAATGGCATTCTTTATATGTTGGTATGGCATATGACATGCTGTTATAGAGAAATTAGAAATTCTGTTCTGTATAATAAATACATGTTTGACTCCATGGTGCAGGATTTACAAAATACTAGAGTCCAAACAGAAGTGGCAATGAAAGTCTATATTTATAAGGAACACTGAGGTTAGAATTTTAAATAACAAAAATATTGGCTTCATGTTTCCCCAAATCAATAAACAACTACTGAGAACAGCATATCACTCTCACAGATAAAGGTTAACACAACAAGCAAGGCCCCATTACCACAAAGGTAGACCAATGAACTGAATGCAAACCCTGATGAGCCTGAAGAAAGAGCAGATGAATTATGTTGCTTTGTTACATGAATTGATTACAAGGATGAAGAGGTCTATAACCCAGCACCACATTTTCAATGCGAAGATGATCTGAAAATTTGACAGCACCAAAACACAATCGATCTTTGTATTTTTACCTTGTTCAAAAAACTCTGATCTCCTTTTTAAGTTTTTCAAAGAAATTGGCTCAGATTCTACATAAGAAATAAAAAATAAGGTACACAAGGATAAATCCCAATCCTTAATGTGAACTCAGTAAAAGTTAAGGTACACAGTTTATGGTTTCAAACAATTTAGGAAACTGAAATAGTTCAATATGCTTTAATACATAGATTTTTATGTCATACCACCTGTCACAGGCAACAAACAACAGGCACAGCAAAACCCAGGCAAACAATATTATTGTCGCATGTAGCTAAAGGACAAATTCTTCCATTTCTCATTCACGTTAGTTCAGGCAGGAGAACACCAGCTGGCTTTCAGCTCTTTGCTCAGTACCTTTATGTCTCATTGTGACCGCCTCCCCACGGAAACCTCCATTCACTTCCTTAGTTGCTGCATCCTGGAAAAGCAACACCCGGTGAATAAAACACAAATAAGGGAGATGCAGAGAAAAGCTGACTATTAAAGATATCCTCAATCACAAATCACACACAGAACATTTAAGAGATGTCAATTAACCTAGACAGCATTTCTTTGGACTGTGGGAAGAAACTGGAGCACCTGGCAAAAGCCCATGTGGTCATGGGAGTGAACACGCAAACTGCGCAGGCCAGAATCAAATCCAGGATCCAAGAAAGGCAAGGCAGCTGCCACAACTGCTGTCAAAGGAATCTGTGCTGCCCCAGTCAAACAAATCTTCACTCCAATACTAAGAGTATCTAAATCTTTATGAGCTCTTGCTTTGTGAAGGGTCTTAAAACATTTTCCTGCCGTAAATAATAAACGTATCGTCAAACTGTTACCCATTTTTAAACATTTACATGACTGAGTGATGTATAAAATAATTCTATTAATTCATGTCAGCAAGTGTATTATCGCTAAGAATTACATTTTACATCACAATCTTTCATTACCAAGCCAAATAACGGCACTAAAAAGCTGTTGTTCAAATATTGAATGTCAACCAAAAACCACAAAGAAAAAAACATTAAAAAACTGGATTTAACTTTTTGCCAAAGAAGCTTTTATAGCCAGCGAACTTACATTAACAGGCTCACTCATAAAATCTGGTTTCCTGGTCTCCCCCGGGGACTCGCGTGAAGTAAGATCTCTGCTGGTGTTGCTGTACTTTTCAGGGGAACCTATAAGTGTTGCATCCATACTGGTCAGATTGATGGTTTTATGGCTTTTAAATGGTAGGGAAGGTAGGTCTCTGCCCCAGTCTGAATGGTGTATGATGGCATAAAATCATGAGTTTATGAAAATATCAAGTTCACAAATCAAAATAATAATGACAACAAGCATAGGTGAAAGGCAGACAAAACAATACCGAAAAGAGAGGGCATAATGGACAGACCACCTTCCCCAGACATGCATAGTCTACATTTAGTCAAAGCTTAAGAAACCCATTTTCACAAACAAGATTACAGATACTCAAATGAATGCAGCAATGCCATGTTTTTCTAGGTTTTTGGGTTGGAGTAACAATATTTTACCAACCCATTTCTACATGCAACCTGGTGAAAATAATTCACTTAGGCTGAAACAAAAGGTGTGTTTTAAAATTTCATGAAGGGATGGGTATAATATGTTTTAAGTGTTCCACTACTGATGTATCCATAACCTTGCTGGTAAAGAACCATTTCTTTAACCATAAGTACTCACTAAGTTAGGTTAACACCTAGTAAGTTAAGCACCTGCAAGCATCAACCCCCACTGAAGGTGAACAGGCAGGAAGCTAAACTGCACACACAAAAAAACTGCCACGAGAACATGGAAGCATAGTATGCCTTTGTATAATATTATATTGCAAACATTTTTTTTAATGATCACCAGTGATCAACTTGGATACATCAAGTGGTCTGCAGACCAGAAAGCTTAAAATAAAACAAAATTGCCACTCAATACTGATGACAAAAGAGCATTACTTCCTCCTAGTCCACCTGAAATACAAGAACATTGCACATTAAATGTATGGTTTCCCTAAGCTGCAGAGCTCTGAGATACCTTTCTAATGACAGCGTTTAAAGTTTTTTATCTTTTTTTCAGGCTACTGACCAGCTGTGGATCTGAGGCTAGGCTGAAATTTATTTTCCAAGGGCTCACATGGGGATGTTACAATGACACAGTCTTTCCTCTCTCCTTTTTATTTGTTTCTGAGGGCAAGCATCACTGACCATTAAAATAAAATAGTCAAACAGTAGCTAGAAGACTACCATTCCAAGTGAATAAAAAAAGGACCGGGCCACTTTTGAAGATATGTAGACCTCCCAAGCTCCCATCCATTATACTTAACACTATACCTTTTCAACAGCCACCACTGGGTGTTACACTAGAGATTTAGACAGCATTGACAAGGTGCTCTTTTCACACGAATACTTTGTAAATTGGTTTCAAGACAGAAGAACAAAGGCCACAACTGAATTAAAATCACAACTCTGCTTTTTCTGATAGCTATAAAGAACAAAACCGGCTAATTGGGCCAAATGATCTACTATCATTTGTGAGCATGATATTCTTATGACAGAAAGAAAAGCAAAAACCTCTTGCAGCTCTCATAAGGTGCTAACAATACACCCTACAGTAGTCTTGTACCACTTTGACAGAGTGCTATTATATCTACAGTAAACTGAAAAAGCACTCCTAATGGGTCTGTATTATTTTCTAACATCAAGTTCACAAGCCACCTGTCTTTAAGAAAGATTGGATTCATCACAGGCTACCAAATCCTCTTCCTCATGAGATCAATTAATTTATTTAGACTTTTCAGATTTGCACTGAATTGTCTTTGAGTCATCCTCCTTTTCTCAAAGGGAAAACATTTTGGATGCAGTGATTTCAAGATACTGCCTTACTGAAGTACATCATGAGAAATGAAATCCATCACACTGCACAATAACTTCGGCATCCCTTAGCCCCATTTCATCACAGAGCTGCTAGAAATCTGCCCGTTTGCAACTGGATTTCTTGTTGATTGCTTTTTTTGTGTGTGCAGTTTTTCAAACATTTACATGAAACATGACGGAGCATCACAAGTACCAAGTACTTATAACCAAACTTACTATTCTTGCCATATCTGCGTATGTCCATCACAAGGTTTCCATTCTGATGAGCTTTATCCATACTTTCCTTCCACTGCGTGTAGTCCATCTCGGAGACCTTCAGGCCATTAACTGTGAGGATCTCATCATTCACCTGCAGCTGGCATAGTTCAGCTGGGCTACCTACGGGTAGGAGATCATAACCATAGTTCAAGGCCAGCTTCAACCTGATGAGCAGTATAGTGTATATAATGCTTCATCATAACAAAGTGGCACAACATTTGCATTTTTCTCGTGTCTTGCACTGTGACTAATGGAATGAAAAAAAACATGGCTCATCACCAAGCAGGGAATCCACAAATTCACCGTCTTTGAATTTAAAAAATGAAATCCCACTGTACACATGTACAAGGCCAATTGCTTTTTCAGCTGCTGATTTCAAATTCTGTGTGCTAAAAAGGTCATTCACAGATTAAAAGAGTAATTGGTCCCTCCAGTGTACTAATTCAGAAACCTGGACATATCCCAGAATAATGAAATCAACACCGGAGACAGTGAAAACATTTACCATGAATGTTTTAATAACAAACATATTTATATATAAAGAAAACCCACATTTTAGGTATACTTACTAATTGATTACCATATTGAAGTACAAGTTGACAAGCCAATCCCTAGTTTTTCTGAGGAGTTTTACGTTCAGATGTGAATGATGTGGCAGCTGGAGTGTAAGGAGAACCTTTGTCCCAGACCTTGATAAATCATTCATGGCTGTCTCCTGAAACTAGCACAACCAGTGCCTTGAACTCACAGTGCGATATATAATCCTGAAACTACAGAACCCTTCACCAGAGTCCTCTAAAATAGGGACATTAAATAGGAGTATATTCCTGAAGCAAATGATTGCAATTGCTTTTGAAAAAAGTAAATGTTATCTTTAATCTTAAAAGATTAACTGAAAGCGGACGCAGGATTCTGTACTTAATAAGGAAATAGCATTCTTTGGCTATATTTGCAAAACAGCAGAAAAAATTATGCAAAAGCATAGAGTATGGAGGAAGTATTCTCCACTACTCGTCATTCAACACCCCAACCTTGGAATGAGGAGTTAAATAACATGCACATAGAAGAGTAGTTTTGATTTCCTCCCTACATGCCACTGAATGTACCTGGATGAACACCCACAATATATATAGGATCTTCTAACAAAATAGACAAAACAGTTAAAACTTCAGTATACTTCACAAAGAGTGAACATTCATCTAATTTCTTACATAAATGTTATCATAACATGTTTTGTGTTTGACTTTTTTTATTTTGCCTTTTTTTCTACAAAGAAAAACAAACTTGATGGCAGAAAAACGATCCAGAATACAGTCTACATCCCGTTGATACAAAACGTGACCTACCGTGTTCTATGGACTTCACAATGGCAGCAGTGGAGTCCCAGGTAGTTGTGAACCCAAAGTCTCGATTGCTGTTTGGTTTCTGGTTCAGGATGATTCTCATGTCGCTATACTGCTCCTGAAAAACAGAACATGACACCTAGGATCTCATGTCTCGCCTTTCCTGGGGGTAAGACGATCTGGACCAGCATGCACCTTAAAAAAATAATCATTCTTTACAATGTCCAGGTGCTCTTAGTAGGTCTTCAAGTCTGCAAAATTGTCTGTTAAACAATTATGACTACAAATTTCAGCAGTGTTATTATGCAAGTATTGCATTCCTCATAACTTGCTTTAAAAAACATGTATTCAATGCAAACAATACACATCTCTTTTCTACATGAATTAAATTGTATCAATTTAGAATTCTTAAGAATAATTTCTAAAAGATTAAAATAATTTCTTTGGTAAAAACACAACTAATGTCTGAGAGGTATCTGAACAAAACAACCACACTATAACTTCAGTTTGGAATTAAATGTGTTGAGACTAGGAGACAGGAAGCTGTGTTTTATATGACAAATTTGCAATGCCTGGTGTTAGTTTTATAACATTATTAAGTAGATGCGTAAGATGCAGCCAAAAGTCTATACAAATATGACAGAAAATACAGCCTATCCTGACTCATCTGCAACCTTGCAATATTTAGCTGCTTCCTCAAACAAAATATGCTCTGGAAATTTAATCGGAAGTTTCCTTTAAAAATCAAAATCATGCCTCTCATGAATGATTTTTGCTACAATAATGGCTGTTTTTGGAGCAAACAATCACACAAACTTTCTCATTTTCTAATTACCTAACACTTTGTATGCAGATTCACAATTTGTACAAAAACACAGTACAGAACATTATAAACAATTAAAGAGGATAAAACAAACTGCAGGTATGTTAGAACAAGCAGCCATAGCAAAATGTCTTTCTGAAGAAGGATGTAAAAAGTTGTACTGGACATTTGATTTTGTGGTAAAAAAACAAAGGTTCAAGACAGACTAAAACACAAGAAGCCATCTTTCTCACTCACACCCACCTGTGGAGCCACCCTTGCCTCTGGTGGCTTTGCTGCCGTTCTCTTTGTGGCTGGTGGCACCGCTTCAGAGCTGAAGGGAGCGTCAGTCCTCAAGTCACCAAGAGTGCTGCTTGTGTTCGGTGCTGGAGGAGAAGGGTCCATCTCCTCTTCCTGTTCCTCCTCTTCATTGCTGCTCAGGACAGAGCTGGACTGGGATTGAGCATCATCCTCCGTCATGAACTGGCTGTATCGGCTAGGGGTGCTGGTCTTTTGGGAGCGCTCTCTCTCTCCGTTGTAGCGATTGTGTGCATCATCCATCTGAAACAAAAAAAAAAATTAGGAATGTCATTTGGAGACAAGAAAATCTTACATGAAATTAAAAATAAGTTTCTTCTTCCTGAAAGGATACTCAACAAGTACACAGCCTTACCAAAACAGTCACCAAATTACTAATTTATGACAAAAGGTTCAACATTTCAAAGGCCACAATTAAACATTGATTAATAAGATTTCTTTCCTTTCCTGATAACACAGAAAAGTCATGTTTTATATATAAACATAAAAAACAAGCATTTTGAAATTCCAGGATCTGGATATGAAGTGGTATAACATTAGGCTATTCTATTATTTATAAACACTGTAAACAGATCATGCAGTAGCAGGTAACATTAAACGCATACACAAAGCACAGAAAAAAAGTAATTGTTCGTTTGTTTTTAAACACAGAAGCAGAAGACGAACTGTTAAAATTGTCAAAATTTAAGAAAGAGGTTACTCACCGTAAAAGCTCTGGAAAGGGATGCAATTTTGTTTGACTGAGTTCCAAAAGGTCGTGGTGCGACTACGGAGGACAGCCGTAAACTATCAGATCTCTGGTAGCTTCTAGGAAGAGAAGCTGAAACCCGAGCCACCCCTGGCTTTGTGTCCATAGAATTGTGTGTATACAAAGGAACAGAGCTCTTTTCTTCCGATGATTTCTCAAACAGGAGCCTGGATTCTGTTGCTCTGCTGGCTGTGCTAGTGGTGGTTGCCTCTGTCTTACTTGTGGGGCTTGTGGCTGTTCTGAAGGAGGAAGAGGCAGCTGTGGACACAGGTGTGCAAGTGGGCATTGGAGCTACTCTGGGAGTGGACGATTCTGTGTGCTCCTTCTGTGCTCTCCGAGAAGGGGTGGAAGGGGGAGCCACTCTGGTCTGGGCTGTGTAAGGATTGTCCACTTCCACAGTATAGCTTCTCTCGGACAGGGCTCTGGAAGTGGGCTTTTGCTCAGTGAACACGTCTTCATTGGATGAGTGAAGGGACATGCTCTCAGCTGTTGTTGTGCTGAGGGTTCTCATCCCTCTGTTCTCCCTGTGGAAAAAGCGACATGCTTTTAAATGCATGTGGGGGAGAGGAGGAGCCAGGAGTAGTCTCTAGAAGCATTCAGCTATTAGGTTTCACTTTCACACAAACAGGAGGAAAACATTTAAACTAAATACCTAAAGTTAGTGCTATTAAGACAAAAATAAATGAAGCCAATACTCACCACTGAATGACTTATTGAACTATTTCTATATATTGGCATGAAAAGCTAAGAACTAGATAACCTTAATGGTCCTAAACAATAAAATAAAAATTAGCCTGAAAAGGATATTCTAAATGAAAAGCAAGCAAATGCATGAAAAACAGTCTGAATGTTTTTAAAGAATTTTAAAACAAGATTGTAACAAGACCTCACACTAAAAAAAATCCCAAGAAAAATTGCTATCTGTAAAGGTATAAGTTAGCTGAAAAATTATCACTATACTGCTCATCAGCTGTGCAAACATTTACATTCTCTAACTGGTACATGAAAAGGGGATGCAATATTGCCAGGATTCTGTATAATTATGTATAATTGGTCTTCTGTCGAGACATAAGACCATCACTCATATTTTTTTATATACAGTACATAAGAGATGAAAGAAAAAGACAGACCCCTTTTTAAATAATAAAAATGCCATTTAAAAAATGGTTTTCCCTGCTTTAAGCCTACAATATACTGAAGCCAAGCAAAATCGTCAGGTCAATGTTATTTTTACAATACTGAAAAAAATCCAGAAATACTAGTAACTGTCTAGAGAAACAATCTAAAGAAGTCTGTCTGTCCTCTATGGTTTACCTTTCCTCTTGCATTTCTCGAAAGGTCTTGGTTTTCCTCTCTGTATCAGTGCTGGTCAGCAGTTCAATTTCTTCTCTTTCTGCCATCTTCTTCACAAGGTCATTATTAAAGCTCTTGCGACGGCTTTTCCACTTAGCAAGATCCTAAAGATAAATGTCATAAAACCTCCAATACCCATTGTATCAAATCCAGAATATTTCTATGCTATTGGAAGGAGAACGGAAAAGGCACTGGCCAGTACTATTGCAGTAAAAAAAGGACTAGATTTGCTGGTGTCCTAATTCTGTTCAAAGTAACACACTGTTCCACCCATTTCCTGTCCCATGTGTATCAGGCTGCTGAGCTTGACCTAAATGCTTGGTTAAGATGGATTCATAATTTAAAAAATGAAAGAATAATGCTAAAACCATATGTAGCACATTAGGAATATCAGCATGATTAAACTTTTTGTTTTAAACTTTATTAGTTTTAAAAGTATTAGTAGCAGCATATTTCTTTACCCACTGTAGAGTATTATTCTAAAAAGAAATGTTGATCGTGCCTCCTTAAGGCACACAGGCAGGTAGACGGTAAAAACAGATTTCTCATTTATATTTGGCACTGCCTTCACACCCAGTGTGTGGCTGAGACAGGAGATGTCTTTCACTGAATGGTAGCACAATCATCACACCAGCGTAAGACTGATCAGTGACATGCACTTGTTTTAGGATTCTATATTGAAAATAAGAATAGCCAAACCATTTTCAGAAAGGAATTATAACAGCAAATAAACATTGCAATCTTTTATTTAGATAAGACTACACATAGCTATTGACTAGCTTGCAAGATGGACAATATGCATTGTAATTCGTGGCCCTCATTGCTGTCTTGTACATCAGGTGAGCCAAAGCAGACCTGCCAGCAAATCATACTCACATCCTGCCACTTATTGTCGCTTTCTTTTATCTGAGTTCTTAACTTCTGTAACCCTTCAAAGCGAATCTGGCGGGTTATTTCTGTGTCCTGGGTTACATCGTTCATGGACTTGCTCCTGCAAGGGATATACATGTGTGAAAATCTCAGTCAGAGAGAAGCAGGCACTTTCCCATCACTTGGGTTATACACATGGTTTATTATTTATTTTACCCATGTATGCCGGAAAAGTGAAAATTTGATAAGCAAAGAAAAAATTTGGAGGTAGAAAGGGTCAATTAAATGTCTGTAATTTCTGTAAAAAAAAGTTTGAGGGAAGGAATTATGAATATAAATTCAGAATACTGTTACGCCATGATCCCTACAGTCACAAGCAATGTTTTGGACTGTCACTAGAAGGCCACCTAGTGTTGGAATTGAATACTCAAACTGCAATTTCAACTTGCAAGGAGCCCAAAGTAAATTGTGAAGCATGCTGCTTAGGTGCCGTTCTTCCTCAATAATCTTGCATCTCAAACTTTCAGCACTCTGCTACACAGGAAATTAATGCAATGATCTTTAAAAATAAAGAACATTTTTAGAATCAGTTTTACTGTGATAAAGAGTATATTTAACTTGCTGCTCTAGAAGAAGAAAGCTCATTTAAAAAAAGAAACGCTGACTTTCGACAACTTCTAGACAAGCCCATGTATTAATAGGCATAGTTAGATGGCAGAAAACACTGGACATCAATAAGCTACAGCAGAATTCACAATCTTTGCAAAATGCTCAGCCAACCCATCAGCCACACAAAAAAATGATAAATAAATGTTTGCAGGCAAACTTGCTTTAAGCCAGTGTCAGGGTTAATGTGATCCTCCCTGAACATACCTGTGATCACCAGGTAGCTCTCCTAAAGAGTGGAGCTAAACTGCTTCTTGAAATTAAGTTTCATCCTACTGCATATTTCCCTCTTCCATTTCAGTAATGTTAGTGATTAGATTTGTTATATATTTCATGTATCTGCTTTCTTTCCTATTGTGGGAAATGTGAACCCCTAGTCTGGGAAGCAAAGCTACAGAACCAAAGAGCTCGCTGCTGTGTAACAAAAAGCAACTGGCAACACTGCAGGACACCCTGACACGCAGGAAGCCATTAAGGGGCATCATGCTGCAAAGAGGGAAACAGGCTGAATCCTTTTCTGTGCACAAACTCACCCATTTCCACCCGAGTGTTTCTCCAGCAGTCTAAGGAACCAAAGAGAACCACAAACAACCATGTGACTCTCCCAAGTAGAGATACCTATAATTTATGCTATCCACATGTTAATTAAGGAAGATTTAATAAGGAATTAAATGACCTCGTCTTCCCTGCATTCCTGTTAATGGCGCAACATGACAGTTTCATTTTAAAGGTTAATCATTCAAGTTTTCAATAGTTTTAAATACTAGATAAAACCACCAAGCCAAACAAGCAACATTTACACATGGCAAGACTTGAATATATTTTTAACAGGATTATTAAATAAAAGCAAATAAATACAGTATTTACTTTTCTGGGAGCATCATTTCCTCAAATTGAACTCATGTCATTAAGAAAAGAAATGACAGAGCATAGGCTCCAACTCTAGAGATAGATATCACCAGTCAAGTCAGGCTTACATGTCACCTGCTTCTAAAGACTAAAGAAGGAGGCTATTAATCAACTTGAATTGATCATGTGATCTGTTCAATTAACAATTAACAAAACTTTGGTCCCTGAAAACTAAAAAAAGGGTATGATATCTAAATGTTTTAACAAATGGCCTGTTTAATTGGACACAGTGAAACTGTGTGAAAAAGTGAAAGTCTTTACAAACTGGTCATTTATCTTTGGAATCTGGGGATCTCAAGGACTAGGGGTAGAGACCCCTGTAATAGTTGCTTTAATGCACATAATTTAATTTAATATGAAGCCACATTTCAGATAACTCTCCACACTATAGACAACTACAAGCTCTTTTAAATTATTTTCCCTTCCACAAATTTATCATGCTAAACAAATTTGGGGAAAAATAAAATCTTTGCTAATGAAAATTGATCCTTAATGAAGTTTAACTATTGAGTTTGTGAGCTCACAGAGGCAGATGTTGATGTGCTGAGGAAAGAATTGGTTTTCTTATCACCTTGTAGTAATTTGAAATACCGGTTTCTATAAAGAAAAGGGTCAAGAACAGAGATCTTGTAATGAAACACACAGGCAAGGATGCGTTTAAAAAATACAAATGAACCCTAACCTGTCCAGTTTCAGCAAATGATTAAACAAAATGTCAGTCCTCACAAAACAACTTTGCCTTCATATAATTTTAAGTCTTCCAAATGCAGCACGAACTCTGGCAAGCTGGCAGCCTTGGAGCCTGCATTTACTCCATTGTCTGAGCTTGTCCCAGGGAAATGAGAGAAAACTCTGCAGGTGACTCCTCATGAGCTTGTGCAGCATATTCACACGAAGAAGAACTTTCCACTGCCAGATGCTAGGGATTGGAGGTCAAGGTGTGGAGGTGATGCATCCCACTCAGGAATTGACTACAAGTGACACCTCCTGGTCAAAGTATCAACTACAGGGGCAGCATAAAAGGTAAAGTGACCCACAGTAATCAATCCTTTTATTAAATATCAATTCTTTTATTTGATATAGTATCCTGTATAGCATACTTTATTCTGTTATTTTACTTGGCAAGTGTAAGTGAAAGTTAGTTCTCAATTTAAGGACTGGAGACTGCAGGGAAATGACCAATTGAATAGGGCATCCACAGCAGCAATTGGAGAGAAGCACCTGCACCTTGTGTACAGATAAGATCCTTTTTCCTGGCCACATACAATTTCTTGTATTAGGGATTTGCCTTTTCGCATAGCCCAACTTGTTCTCCATGAAAATGCATATCTTATTATAATTGGAATCAGTTCGGTTTGAAACAGACTTCCTCCTCTTACCCATACTTTCCTAAATCAATCAGATTAAGACCTGAACCTTAGTGTGGGGACACCTTTGAGAGATAGCATTTACATGTTAACAGACATGCCAGAAAACCTTCAGGCAGATTTATTGAGGATTACAATACTCTTCTGAAAGACAAGCAAAATATGACTTCAAAATACAGAGAATACAAAGAATTTTGATGACCAAATATTTTCTCTGATAAGGAATGACAAAAAAGTAAATGAAAATATCATTTTTTAAAAGGCTGCAGTTCCTTTACTACGATAGAATGCAAACTTTGGGATTAAAACAGACAAGTGCGATGAATGTCATTCGTACTCACAACTGGAATAATTCCAAATAGTCACATGCAATCAAATGTTATTTTATAGCCTCTCATCCATAAAATGTTAGACATGAATTTTGTTTTCTAAAGTGTCTTAAGCATATTTGAGATCTAACCGAGGAAAGATAATTAGAACACTCAAAATGCAGCCAGAGGGACTGCAGTTATTAAAACATGGCACCAGTCTAACCCACACATTTCTTAAGAATATTTTTAGGTTTCTTCTAATAAATTAAGGACACAAAAATAATAAGAACACCTAAGAAAATAAATGCTAATGTTTATTTTGTTCATAAATTACTTATCAATAATTATGTAAGCTAGTTGATGTTTATATCATATATGGCACCAAAGGTCTGAAATAGAACAACTGCAATTATATATTCTGGAAATAAACTGTTCTACTTTCTCCTCTTTTTCTTAACATAATACCACTCACATTATCTTGTTAAACATAGGTTTAATTTTTAAACTACATTTAACGTACAACCACTTTGCTTTGAGAATGCTTTTGGCAACTCTTTACAGATATGAAAGGTGGAAATATCTTTGGAGTCCAAAAAAAACAAAAAAAACAAACACCACTATTTTTTTTCCTGCCAGATCAGGAAAAAAACCTTTTCCAATACATCCTCCGAGTCTTGGTGGTGCAGACGGCTAAGAAATGAGTTCCTCTCACACTTTACGACTCTAGGACCAGCTGTGGGGTTCTGCTTTTGTATTAAACAAAGGGACCATCACAAAATGCCTACAAAAACAGGAGCAATCGTTCACAGCACCTAAACTGCCAAAGTCAAAACCAACATGCTTTGTTAGATTGTGCATCCACACCATATTCCATTAATCAGCAGTAGAAGAAGAAATGTTGAAGCTGGAAAACATTCCGTAGAGCTCAAAGGCCTAACCTCTTCACCATCAGCTTCTTCTTGTGTCTCTGCCTGCTGGCTTCCTGAATTGCCTTCCATTTCTGCAGGTCTTCTTCACTGCAGGTAGTGGGAACTGGGATAGTCACAGGCACAGAAGTGTGAGGCTGAACTCCCCCCAGCTTTCGCACCAACATGTCATCTACTTTTGGGTGTGAAGCACAGAGTTTACCCTCCACCTCTTCGCCCTCTTCCCCCTCCTCTTCGGGAATGGGTGTCCTGGGCTGGCATAGAAGTCGGGACCGGAGGCTCGGTGGCAGAGCCCAGGGCTCCGGTACAGGAATAGCATGGTAGACATCAGGAGCTCCAGAAAGGGAGAGTCCCATTTTCAGAGAGCCGAGCCTCACTTTACGGAAAACCAGATCATCTTTCTTTACATCTGGGGTCGCCGACTCTTCTCGCCGCGTCTGAGTGACAATACTGCTTTCAGGCTCTGAGTCTGGGATACGGTCCTCCCGGGCTTCTGGACTCGTGCACTGGAGGTTCACAAGGCTCTGGAAAGACCCAGTCCGACGGGCAAACATGTCATCGTTTTCCAGATCAGGAAGAAACTTTTCCGATATGTCGCCTGAGTCTTGTTGCTGCAAAGGGCTAAGAAATGAGTTCCTCTCACACTTTACGACTCTAGGACCAGTCGTGGGGTCAAGTCTGGGCACGCTGGCACAAGGCTTCGTGAATTGTGAATGTTCAGTTGCACCTTTTAGAGTTTGTGGCTGCATGGAAAGACTGGAGTTCAGCAACAGGAGAGAGCAGAAAGAAAACTTATTTAGCACCAGAAAACCCCAGTAGAACAAAAGTGGGAGTACCAAAGTGTGAAAAGGGGAAAAAGTAGCCTTTAGTTTATTCCTATACCAGGTTAAAACCAGCCTTATAAAAATTATTTACTTTGCTATACTTAAATTAGGTAAAAAATAAAATACATTAATGGACAGGGATGACCACAGATCTCCCTTCATTTAAGAGAAAAAAAGTATTATCATAACATGTTAGAGAAGAAAAACTGACTTAAAATAGTCAGTATAAAATAACATTTGATTAAAATAGTGTGCACATTCCCTTTTTCTTCAAGGAATTTCAAAGAAATTCATACTAAATGACAGGATATGTTTCTGGGCCCACTAATTCTGTATTGAGCCTTTTAAAAAAGTCCAATGTACAAATACAATGAAATAAGATACTGGATTTTAATTTCTAAATTTAAAGATTATGACAGGTTATGCTTTTAAATATCCCCTTATATGTTTAAGGGGAAGTTAATTTGAAGACTTCATCTTGCAGTGGTATGAACCTTTGCTGCACTCTGGAACAACAGCAATCAGACATGCTTTCAGCAGCCCTTGGCTTGTCCAGGTGACTGAGGTGTTTATGAGACACAGACTGGGGTGGCTGTTCATCCCTAGCAGATGAGGGAACAAAGTAGAGATTGCCTTCACAGTCAGACTCCTCTGAAGATGAACTAGACTTCTGGCTACAGCAAAGACACAGAAAGACCCAACAGGAAAGACATCAAAGTACAGAACAGACATCAGAGGGAAAAGGTAAAGATGTACTGACTGAAACAGAAATTAATTTAAAAAGGAATTAAAAATGTCCAAGACAATTGAACAATCCACTACTGAGAAACACCAAAAGAGGAGAATAAAAGGAAACTGGGTTTTTAAATTATATTACAATTTGAGTAATATGTTTTTTTTAATTAAACTTACTGTAGGCATGATCCTAAGTGCATGTTTTAAACCTGGTAGAAAGCAATGAAATCCACGTAACTGGATCTTAAATGCTGTGAAACCCAAACAAACCTGAAACCCTGGATCTTCCTATACCATGGTCTGCGCTGAGATCCGAGCTTGATCTTGTGCACATGCAGGTCTTCTTCCGGAGTCCAGTACTTTGGCAGAAATGTGTCATAAGCCACAATTGCCGAGGGTTGCAGCACCAAGCCAACCTTGCGTGCATAGAGGTCATCCTTCTGTGGGTCCGCTGTGCCTTCTTCCTCTTCCGAAGTTTGGCAAAGGTCACTTATGAGGACCTGCTCTGGAGCTGAAGGGTCACTGTCCACCTTGACACCCCCACGCTGCTGCGTGCTACTGCTCAAAAAGAGCCAATCACATGAGCCTATGGGCGACTGTGCAAATACTGTACACAAACCAGGGCGAGCACCATGCTTTCACGCAAAGAAAATCAGGTTCAACATAACACTGCCAGCAAGGTTAGTGCAAATTCAAAAACACAGAAGCTCCAAAGGGCAGTTATTTTACAGCGCAGTGCAGAGTTTGCAGCATAAACAATGCATAACATTCCAGGTCAACAACAGCAGGTCAACAGTCCCCATTTAAAGACAAAAAAGGAGCAAATGAAGCAAGCTGGTTAAACTCCTATATTCCTGTAAAGTTTGAGCTCAGCAATGCATATTCTGAGCTTCATGTTATTTTGCAGTTACAGATCTTACTGACCCCACTGCCAGCCCAGGTGCTGGTGACAAAGCACCCAGGGGAAGAGAACCACTCAGGTGGCAGCAGAAATCGGCGCTGTGCACAGGCACAGCATAGTTGGCCGGGAAAGCAGGTGTGTGCGTCTGAAACCTGCGGCTAGCCAGGTCATCCAACTGCACATTGGGCTGCCTCCTTTCGCCCTCTGAGTCGGAATCGCTCTCATAGTCGTAAGCCAATCGTAGGTGTGTTGCGGGAGGGTGGCCTTGCAGGGGATGCCCATTCGGAGGAATGGGATTACTCCTACCGGTCTCTTCTTCACTGAGGTCATCCAGAACAATGAGCAATTCAACACACTGAGAACAGTAGAGTGTAAACTAATTCCATTTAAAACACATGAGACCAGCTTGGCAGCAAAAAAGAAGGAAAAGCGCATTTGAAGAAATAACCAGCAAAGATTTTTCCAAATGCTATCACTTGGTGATGAGACCTCGTGTAACAGCTGATGCGGTTATTGCAGAAAAAAATATGAAAAGTTAATTTACAGGTAGTTCTGAAAAGGATAAGTTTAGCATAATTAAGGATGTTAATTTAAATTTAACCAAAGAACCAACTGTGAATCAGGTTGGATACCCAAGTGAATGATATACCACAGAATACAAACTAAAGAGATGCCATCATTTTTCAGGAAACAATTTCAGAGTAGACCTTATAAAACCAATGTTAAGAAGACGTCCAACAACCTTTGTTTGTTCCACTCTTTTACATACTAGCATCCTTATTCACCTGATATTGTTTTTCCTTATAATAACAAGAAACATTCTGCTACCAAAGCAGGTCAAATTACCTGGAAAAGGAGCCATCCTCTTCAGTATACATGGGACTTGCCCAGCTTCTCCTGTTGTCTTCATGACGTTCAGCTCGCTTCTTCCTCAGTGGGGCTGGGACATATCCAGCCTGCTTGTCTTTAGTGGGAAGAAACTGGTTAAACTGTGCGTTGTTCTTCGGTTCTACCACTGCAACCCGGCGGTACTGAAGACCATCCTTGTTCTCCGACATCTTGAATGCCGATTCCAACTCCACGTCACTCCCACAACCTGGAAAGAGAAGACAGCTTGTTAGGAGAGGATCAGAGCTGAAATGCTGTACCCAACTAAGTGGACTGCTCAGTCGTGCGCTGTCCCAATCCAGAAGTTCACAGGCTGCTGTTGGCAATGGCTGGAATGTTTCCAGACTTTTGTTAATAAACAGTGACAAAACCAGCTCAGGAATAACATGTTCATTTGCAATCCCTTGCTGAATGCACTGGAATGTATCACCAGGCTGAACAAAGAAGCAGAAACAAAGGCACGTCTAATAATTGGAAAACAATTTCCAGACCTTCAAAAACATGCCAATGTTTGATTTAATCTGTTCTTTGATCAGTAATGATATTTGCATGGAAGGCATTTTGTATTCCCAACAACCAAGTGTCAGCTTTGGCATTTTGATAAACTGATAAAATGAAAAGCACTCACCTTCACAGATCAAGATCTGCAAAGGTGGCCACACAATGCCACTCTCAGTACTGGAGGGTAAATAAAGCCTAATGCAAATTTATAAATACATTTTCAAAGCACTCAAGAACGATTTTCAATATCTCTTAAAATAGGCTTTTGGATGCTTTAACCCCACAGCAATTTTGAAAGTCAAAATTAAACTGCAGATCAAATAACAAGGATCAATTTTGTCATTTTACACATGCAAAAGTGAATCATTGTTTTAGAGAAAGAAAAACTCATATGTTGTTGCATATTTTGATTAAAAGACTTCCTTGCCTACTTGTTGGGTTATGGGATAATCAAAGATCCTGGACCTTATTTACTTCAATCTCAAGTTAAAAATACCAGGTTTACATCAAATTAAAATTATCCTTTGGATATAATCAGGCTAGATGTAACAGCAATTGAAAAACTTGTATTTAGGCCAGTAGGATTTCAGAATCCTACTGTGGGCAAAATATTTCTGTGGAATGTGCAAACAGCTCCCACCTAAAAGGTTTTGTGGGTTTGTGTGAATCACATTCCTCAGCTTCACTGGTCATCCTCTACTACCCTGGTCTAAATTCTTCAGTTGTGCTTCTTTCATGGCAGCAGTGATAAATATCACCACCAGAGGGCTTTGTGTTCCAACTGTATGATTTTATACAGTGGGATTTCTGATGATTACTAAGCTAACCCAAGTTCAGTTCTGCAGCGGTGGCTCTTGTTATTAATGGGTGGTACTGTACATATTTATTGAAACTCACAATACAGCAGTGTACAGTAGTTCTGGTTCACACGCTAGGGTAAAAAAAATATATCAACAGATCAATGTCTGTTTTCTTTTTGCTTTTCATAGCTCATTTCTTCACACTCTATTTTTAAATAATGGAACAATTGAACATTAGATAATCAACTAGTTCCAGCTGAGGTCCTAATCACAAGACAACATAACTTCTCTTCAACTTTCTTTTAATGGCATAATGGTTTCTCCAAGCCTGTCTGCTAGCAGTCTTCCCCCCCACCACCAAACAAGTTGCAGCACCATTCTATTTTGACAGAACTGGTACACGGCGTACCCTCGCAACTGCCTTTCAAAGTTGCGTCCGAAGAGTTACTCAGTGATCTCGAGCCGACCGAGTCCAAGCTGTCTAGGGAGTCGTCTCTCTGGTGAGAAGCTGGAAGTAAGAGCAGCTCCCCTTTCTCCGCGTACCAGCTTTCGCCGTATCCGCTGTCCCTGCCAATTCGCTTCAGACTGCCCGATTCTTCAAGCACCTGCAATCAAAACCAGCTCAGCTTCACACGTCCTTCAGTCCTACAAATTTCAGGGTCATTTCAGATGCACATCAAATCAAATTTTTAAGACTTGTGAAACAATTTAAGGCAAATATAAAAGAAAAAGTCCTTTCAAGTCCTTTCATTATTTAATTTAAATGGAACATTACTGAAAAAAAAACGTAATGCAGATGGCCGACACTGCACGTTGTGCGAGCCGGCTTACCAGCGCAGTGATGTCACCGCCTTTCCCTTTGAATAGGGCTGACGGAAGATTTCCCTTTAGCTCAACTGGCTGGGTCCCTGTTGAGTGACGCCGCAGGCCCGGGTTCTAGTCCCCAGCGGTGGGGGGCCGACCTGAGGCGGCAGCGGCGAGGGTGCATACCCACGTGAACCCGAGAGCACTACAATACATTTTATTTAAAACCACAATAATGGCGAAATTGCTAAATTACCTGAAATAAACCTGAAAGCACCTCTGCTTCTACTGCTTTTGGGAGTTTGAAAACAAGCAAGAGATTATCCGTTTTAAGGTATTGAAAAGAAAATATTGTATAACTGGAGCTACTAAATACAAAAAAAAGACTATTACTATAAGATTTTACACAGCTGTCGAGCTTCATAGATTACTTGCATTATTACAGTTCACCTATTTCAAAAGTTAGACCTTAAATTAAGGAACAATTCTTTTTTTTTTACCAAAAAAATAACCTTATTACCTTTGATAGAGCTGTTCCTAATAATCCTTCAAAAGCTTTCAAGTTTAGGTGAGGTCCATTATAGAAAGGATCAGTCTGTGCTTTCCTACCCAGCCAATATATTGTGATTAAAACCTGGAAAAAAATTAAAAAGTCAAATTTCACATTTAAAAATATCTAGAGATTTCTAGTATTACAAGAGAGTTTCCCTAAAACCCTTTCAATAATGAAGACTGGAATGAGCTTCTGTTGTTTCCGCTTATTAATGTAATTATTTAAATAAAGAATTAGAAACGAAGGTTATAGCTGTCCATGTGCAGACAAGACTTTAAATTACAGTAGATTCCCTAGAGCTATTTTTTGTCAGAACCAACTTAACAGCCTTTGCTATTAAAACATTTCAAAACGCATTTCAGGTGCAGTGTGTTTGTTGGATCAATACTTTGTGTTTTAACATCTGCTGTATAGTAGCAAATGCATGCCCATTACACTATTCTAAATATCTACCACAATTTGTGGCAAGAATTGAAAAGCTCTTTATAGATTTCCAAAAACCAGCAAAAAGCACATACAAACCCCAGTGCACACAAATTAAAAAAATGCCGATAATCAGAAGAATAGCTAATAACTATAAAAATGTCATTTGTGCAATTGTTTTCTGCATTAAGATCAATGTTTTTATTTTTGCATGTGGTTTCCACACACTGTCATGGGTACTACATGCTGTAGCAGCTGAGATGAAAGGCTGAAAAATTTCTCTGTTCCATTAGCGATGATCTTTTTCCAATACAGTCACTTTATGGAAGATCTAACTCAATTTGTGACAGATGAATAGCAGGTATAGGATTTTAAAATGTGAATTTCTATTTTTTTTCTTGAACATTTCAAAAGGATATTAAACATTAAGAGTTCAATGCTCGTACAATGTAAAAAACTTTAGTTAAACACTTAAAAAATGTTCACCACATTTAGACTTACATTTTTTAATCTCCTGTCTGTTTCTTCAGGCCTGAAATAGAGGGGAGAAAACGGTTATTCATTTGTAGTCTCCTAGCCATTATAAAAGAAGTGCAAGAATGTCTCCTCTGTGCTTCAGTCTCCCACTGAAGTAGCCAGAAAGTGAAAGCACAGGCAGTCACGCTGAGCTCTCCACCCTACTCTACAAAAGGTCATGCTATCTCTAGCCAGGAGGCCTTAAGGCTTGCACAGAATTCCTGTCACTGAGAACAGTGGGTAACCAGATCACCGGCTTCGCATAGTTCAAAGAAACCTGTTTAACCATGAATACATGTCAGCAGACTGTCTTATGTAAGACACAATCAATGGCACTCAAATGTTTTGATCCTAAACATAGCAGATTGTTTTTGTGTGCTTTTGGCATTTAGACATCAGTGATTTTAATTAATTAAATTTAATTTATCTTTCTTTATGGGGTGTTAGAACTTTGGGCCCAAAATCCAACATTTAAAATACATACACTTTGTCTTTACTTATAATGTTTATATCATATGTTTTGCATTCATGTTATTTGAACCAAAGAAATTACAGCTCACAAAAACTGCTTACCTGATCAGACAGCATGCCTATTTGGTTTGGTGTATCAAAGGTGAAATTTAAAAGTGGTTAATTTAAAATTCCTATCCCCAGACCAGATCTTGCCTCCACCAAGCTATCTGACAGAAACTGGAATTTCAACAATATTGCACATGTGGTTGGCAATACCAGGGATACTACAGGTTCAACAACAGACACTGCCTAACCCTGATTGCACTGCCTTAATCAACAAATTAAATCTTCCTCTGGCTAGCTGGTCACCTCCTCACTCTAATAATGCCTGTACATCATCAATCATCATATCTATAAAGCTCTTCTTATTGCTCTGAATAGTCTCCAATAATAACACTAAGCCATGCTGGGGGGAGATTATTACTGTAGCTAAGGAAGTATGAGACACTAGGCTGGTCTCTATGCAACGCATTCCTGCAGTGTAGGGTAATACAATAATGTGACATTACTCGACCTTGTGACACTTTTCATGTCTAGGTCCATGGCACTTCTGCAGCTGGAAACACCAGCACAGAAAGCACAACAATGCATTCTGACACAGGGGGATTATTAGTGTCAGTCACCTTTTACATTAACACATTCCTAAGCGAATATTTTCTATTGATTCATCTCCACAGAATGTCACATTGATTGTAAATGTGACATATTAGACTACAGCATTTCTTAAAGCAATGCATATGCTGTAAATGTGTTCATGTGCATAGAACAGCAGTTCCGTCAATCTGCACTAAGGTCTTCAATGTTACAAAACTTTATTTTAGTCCCTCCTATGTTTGCTTAGACTTAGGTAATTTATTACCTGTGAATGGTACAGTATTGAGAAAGCAGCTGGAACCCACCCCCTCTTATACACACAGCCCAATCTATAACTGCAATAAAGATGGAAACAGTGCTTATTAATTGTGGAATGAAGACTTCATTAATATACTTCATTGAATGCTATATGATTTTGGGAATAATCTTACACAAGGCATGCCATTGTTCCATTTGTTCCAGGTCTCAGGAGTTCATTCTGAACTTGGATGCCTAAATCATTCATACACATCAGGATTGCTAGGACAGCTCATGAGGTAAAAATAGCTATTTTCTGACTTTTTTAGTGTTATCAGTTATTAAAGTTTTCAGAAAAAATAAATAACGGAGTCTGTTATACAATGTAATAATTAATTATCCTAAATTTTATAGTGCAAATAGTCTTCCAATACAACTATGACTAACAACGATAAATCACATATACTTCAATTGTATATAATTGTATTCACCCAAAAAAGGCTCCACAGCTGAAAAGTTGTGTTTTCTTTCTTCTCTTTTCAGCATGGAACAAACCTATTACTTGTTCCTTTGCAGCCTATGCATGCTGACGCAGCTCCCCACCTGAACTAGTTTAAAAGATAATTGAATGTTATTTAATGCATGCTTCCTTAATAGTTGATACTGCAACTCCAAAGGCATACTGTATCAACCAGTCAGAAAATGAGAGTAGTAGCTACAGTCAATTTAGTCATTTAGTCAAGAGCTGGCTATCATCTTCCCAGTATTGACTAGAGCATGGTGTCTAAAAAACTAAGAAAAAAACTTTGCCTTCTCCATACAACCACCCATTTTCTCAAACAAGACCACGTTCATATGAAACAGATTCTAATGCAAATTTTCCTTTATCAGTTGGACAATTTGCATCAGAACAAAAGCAAAACTTTGTTTATATATTGTATAAGTACTGTATCTATGATATATTCTTCTGTAAGAGAGAAAAAGGTTTTTGTATAGTATCACCATTCTAGTGATGAGAAAATTCAGCAATGGTACAGTAAAGGCTTCAGCAGACATTTCTATAAAGATCTACTGTATGACCTTTGAATCAATACTGACTTTGACCGGTGACTCATAAATGTATGAGGCACCAATAATATTTCAGTGTATACTTAACAGGGATTTTAAAAGACGGAGATATCTAAAATGCAATTGTGCTCTATTTAGGTACCCACACCAAAAAACTACAAATTGAAACTTATTCTAAAAAGTTTCCGTCTCACACCCAAGGAATTTAACAGGTTTTATTGCTCATCCGCTGTAATTCACATGAAACAGGTGAAGCCTATATCAAGAAAAAACAACTGCTGCCGCACAGCGAGAACAGTTTGCTGTTGCTATGACAAAATGCCAGTATTGTCAACGTATTACAACAATGAATGTTGGGGACGGCTGCCAAGACCTTTCATCTCAATAGGTGTGACCCCGATAGAAACACTGCAGGTCAGATGACAGCAGGCTCTCCCACCCCCATCATGTGAACAAGACATTCTGTACCAATTCGCATTCTCTCCTGCCGAGATTGAGCACGATAAGGGCTTGAAATAAGCAACACTGGCACTAGCTCTAGCACTCGCAGAGAGAGAAGTGCACACGGCACATGACAAGGCAACCACACACCAAGGCCAAATTAAGCTCCTCACGAGGGTCCCAAGACAAAGAACGGGGGAGCTCTTCGGGGAGCCCCAGTAAAAGACTAGAGAGAACAATGGGAGAGCCAGAAGCTGCAAAATAAGGGCTGAGGGCTTTACTGTACCTCTGCCAGATTCCCAGAAATCCCAGATTAGAAGTGAAAAAACACTCAAGGAAAACTGATTTCCTTGTGTTTTAATGCTACATTTAAAAAATGAAATTAAACCTACAGTACATCATAAATCACTATGATGTATGATTATCTTCTGAATGTCTTCAAGGAGATTTTGTTTCTCCTTGAAAGAAAAAAAAACATTTTTGTTTTAAAGATTTTTTACTCCTTTTTTAATTTCATCATTCGCGTTTTTACCAAGATGCCTAGAATCATCTTGAAAACAATTCAAAAAGATTATTTTCCTTGATGTGAGGGTGCATAACAATTCTGTGGTTTATAAAACACCAAAGAAGATTCAACATTAAGTATGTAATATAAATAGTGTGGTTAATTTTAAAGTATATAGGCATTTCCAAACAACTTTCAAAGCCACCTTAAAATGTTTCTGTCAGTTCCTCGGCTGAAAGCCACTAAATTAGGGCATCTGGAATACTGCTACAATACAGTACTTGCAGATGTTCATTGATCACACTGCACTGGAGGGAGAACCTGTAAAGTACTGCACATTTTGCTAGCATTTGAACATATTCTGCACTTGAAAACCAAATCTGTTACACAATGAAAATAATATTTACATCTCAGTACCTTTAGGAGAGTACATTTGGAGATTATTTTGTTTAACGTAACTTGAAACAATTTGAGTGATCTGCAAAGATAATACAAGATAGGTAGGCAAGTGCATGATTACACTGAACCTAAAGTAGATGGGTTAATAACATTTATCACACTTGGACAGTTATAAACTCTCTCACTTTGTGAGACCACCAAAAGTTGACAACATATTTTTCCCATTAATTGGTTGGAATTTACCTATTTAAAATAGGGACAGTAGTATTCTCCATTACTAGACTAAGGCTACCATGCCAAAAAATGTTTTTGAAATTTCACTTACATATCAGCTTCCTCATTTTTCAGATACTTTTCCTATAGGTTTTCACAATCTGAAGCACAGTTTTGAAGGAATTACACATTTATAAAGATACATTTAAATTTATTTTGTGTCAATAGGTCAATTTCAAGCTGGCACTGGGATACAGAAAGAGTGCAGTGTTAAAAGTTATTCATACCAAAAACAAATCAGGATTTTCATTAAAGATATGAAGATACAATTCCACTGGCTACAGTCTACAGTAGCCAGTGGAATAACAGAAGTTCTGAGCCAATATAGCTCTATGCTTGGCAAATCATTAATATTAGTGATAGTCCAATTTTCTTTCAACAACAGTAACAAAAAGGTAATATTTATTGGTCTGGAAGTTTTTACCAGTAGAGGAGAGTCTGTGGAATTACACCTCCATTGCAAGAGCTTCCATACAGTAGCAGAGTAAATGGAAATGTATTTTATTAGTTTGTCATTCTATTATACAGCTGATGAATGAAACTCTCCCATTTTCAACTTTCTTTAATGTCATATCTATATTCCCAGTCTGGTGTCTTGCAACCAAAGGATAAATGGCTCATAGCAAATAAGAATAAAGATTAAGGAACAGTAATAAAATTCAGTCAGAAAAAGAAAATCACAAGGGAAAGGAGTATCGCTCAAGCACTGCGATTATAAATCTCAATCATCAATAATATAAGCAGTATATACACAATCTAAAATATATTGCATATAGCCAAGGCATCAACGCATTAAATAAACACTGAAAGACAAAACCAGACAGCACAAGTGTATGCGTGTGTTTATCATGGAGGGGAAAAAAAAAACATCCTCATTAATTTCCAGCATCTCAACATTGACAATCTCTTTCAGCATAAAGCACAAAAGTAACAGGTGAGCTTTGTACTGCTGATGAGCAGCACAGAACACTACTGAAATTATAGCC